TCTCTCCTTCTCCCTGTCTCTCGCTCTCTCTCTCTCTCTCTCTCTCTCGTCCATCGGTCTCGCGGTCGCTCAGTCGCTATACCCTGGCGGCGTCGCGCGTCGAACGGACGAAACGTGTACGGATCACCGGATCACCCGACATCTTTTTTTTTTTCTTTCTTTCTTTCTTTCTTTCTTTCTTTCTTTTTGCCCCTCGTGGTATCCCTCCCCATGGGTGATTCTCGTGTGCAGCGTGGCGTGTTTGGTGCGCGCGTTAAACTCGACGAAGGACGATAAGGCGCTTCCGCGCCCGCCTTTTCGAGTTTGACGAGAAAACCGAAAAGCGACGACGAATTCCCTCCCTCCCTCCCTCCCCTCCCTCGCCCCGCTTCCATCATTCCGTCAGTCCAGTCGCTCGCGCGGGCCCCCGGGAATGTATCCCTAACTGCGGGAACATCCGAAATGAAATTCCCCCCCCCCCTCCTCCCGCCACAACCCCTTCGCGAAGCTTCCGCGATCTTTCCGTCAGCCAGCCGGTTCTGTCAAGCGTCGCGCGAGGAGAATCGCTATTTTTCAACGGCACCCAGGATTCAAGATGGCCGGGTGCATGTCGACCGAGAGGATAGCCCCTTTCGTTCCCACCATGCCCCGCTCTCTTGCTCCTTTGCCCGCTGAGTCTCTCCCCCCTCTCCGGACTCTCGCTCTCCTTTATACCGCGCATATCTCTCTCTCTCTCTCTTTTTTTCTCTCTCTCTATCTCTATCTCTGCCTCTCACAAGTCGAATATTCTCACAACTTCCGACGTTGCCGTGCGTCACAATGCCGGTTCTCTCTATGCCCCCCCCCCCTCCCGCCTCAACCCCTTCGCGAAGCTTCCGCGATCTTTCCGTCAGCCAGCCGGTTCTGTCAAGCGTCGCGCGAGGAGAATCGCTATTTTTCAACGGCACCCAGGATTCAAGATGGCCGGGTGCATGTCGACCGAGAGGATAGCCCCTTTCGTTCCCACCATGCCCCGCTCTCTTGCTCCTTTGCCCGCTGAGTCTCTCCCCCCTCTCCGGACTCTCGCTCTCCTTTATACCGCGCATATCTCTCTCTCTCTCTCTTTTTTTCTCTCTCTCTATCTCTATCTCTGCCTCTCACAAGTCGAATATTCTCACAACTTCCGACGTTGCCGTGCGTCACAATGCCGGTTCTCTCTATGCGGCGCGCTCGTCTTTTTTTTCCTTTCCTTCTCTTTTTTTTTCCCACGAGCCAGTCGTGCGAGTGTAGCCGAAAAACTCGCGATGGAATATCGCCTCGAGTCGCGAAGGAGCGCGAGAAAGTGTGATGTAATATTTGGCTTTGGTCTACATCTATCTATCTATCTAGTCGATGGCGCGCGCGCGCGCAAGCAACGGAAACCGAGCCGTGTAAATTTCACACGTATTCACATACATACGAGCGACTCCTCGGTTCCCCCTCCCTCCCTTCTCCCCCTTCTCGCTCCGTCTCTCTCTTGCGTGTCGCGTAACGCGGTGTCTTTTGACCTCGAAACGAAAAGGCTACGACGAATAGCGTGCCTCGGATAGATAGGTGGATGAATAGATGATCGAGAGCGCACGAAGAGCTCTTCTCGCGTGTCCAAAAGATTCGATGAAGCTTTCTCTCTCTCCCTCGCTCTCCTTTTCCCGCGCGCACCTTCCTCGTTCCTAACCTCTTTTTTTTTCCGCACCTCGTGTCGCGCGACATTGACACTCTCTCTTTCTCCGTCCTTCCTCCATCTCGTTCCTCACCGATTAAATTAGACCTGGCGATGCTAGAGCGAGGATTATTCGCGACCTGGCGCGAGGTACTCGCAAAAATCCTCGATAACGTTCGCGAGAGAATTCCGGGGTTTAATCGGAAATTTAAATCGATGGTAGCAGAATTTGCATTTCGACGCTGCGGACACACACACACGACGATAATTTGTCTAGGTTGCGGCTTAATATTTCGCTGAATATGTAAGGTGTTTAAAAATAGAACGCGAATGTAAGTATTCTCTGGCCTCCCTTTCGAGACGAAAAGATAAAGCTAGAGAGAGAGAGAGAGAGAAATTATGAAATATGCGTGTGTAGGAAAAAGTAGAAATGAATAAATCTCGTTTTCTCGTCATATATCTTAAACATGGATTAGCACAAGATTCATGTGTGTGTCTGTATCTTTAAAACTCTATCGAAATTATATAACATTGGTATATAATGGAATATTGATATTAATAATATGTTGCGTTTGTGCAAATTTTGGCGAAATATCATTATAACCTGCAAACTGTGTAATTCTATTCCATATATGTGCTGCGGGAGTTATATGGGTTGGAAATATACAATGAATTATTTTATTACAATGAAAATTGTGCATCGCTTATATTTATTACGACGACATTTCGCTGCATTTGCACTTTGAAAGGAATGATTTTACGATCAAAGCGCGCTATGTTTGGGCTGAAAATATTCAATGAATTATTTTATTATAATAAAAATTGTGTATTGCTTATATTTATTACGACGATATTTCGTTGCATTTGCACTTTGAAAGCAATAATTTTACGATCAAAGCGCGCTATATTTGTTTCACGCGAATATAATTATATTACAAAAAGAGATCGGCCATTGCATAACAAGAACAAGCGAGATTCTATCCTTTTTAGGATGAAACGATCGAAATCTAACTGATTAGTATTAAATTATGCAATAAATATTTCGATCAATTAAATTCCAAAAAATATGATTTATTTATTTTTTGTTCTACAATTTTTGGTAATATTTCATAAAGTATAAAGTCTCGCTAGTGGCAGCTTCTTTTTTTTTTTAATTTTGAACAATCTGTACGATTTAATCGCTGCTTTAAGCGTTATAACTGATGTTGCTACATTATTCGTTAATTAATTACACATTTTTGTTTATCTTGCTAGAATATGGAAACCCAGGCGGCATGGATGCTGGGGGTGCTGACTTTGATTCCGGTGAGTGTTTTACTGTGCATAATTATTAAAGAGGTAAGAAGATGTGTTTCCACAAAAGTCAAGTAATCTATGTCTTTAACAATGCAGGCGATTTATATTAAACAACGCATGAATGAGCGATATTAAACTATATCACTGTAACAATTCATTTGATTAAATTCTCATTTTTTTAAATATTGTAAATACGATTTTTATATATATTCACTAGTTTCATTAATTAATTAATTAAATTATATTAAATTTATCTTACTTTATATTTCAATACATACCAAATTTGCGACAAGTTTCGAGAAAGAATATAAAATCTTATTATGATATTTGCATTATATATCGCCATCTAAGTTTAAATAAAAATAGATATTTATATATATATATATATATATATACTAATGCAGGAAATTAAACTTGAAACTATCGAATCTATTTTTTTAATGATTATAATGATTTAATTTATATACAAATTAAGGAAAACATCTTTCTGAATCTAAAACTTCGATAATGAGCTCTAAGAATTATAACTTACGTACACTAAAAAAAATAACATCGAGCGGGGCAAGATACAATCAATTACATAATCGAGATACATAATCAGATTCTATTTCTCACTTTTCAACGTACTCGTGACCAAGAATACTTTTCTCGGATTGTACTAGTAAAGATGACGGATCCTATTTAATGTACTACAATGATCAGATAATCTCATTTGTCCGCGTCCGCTTTCTCGAGAGACGGAAGAAGATAGAACGCGTAGGGAGGGAAGAGGAGAGAAGACGAACCTGAGACAAATTTTTGCGGAGGTTCGTGGAACGGAGTCGGAACGGAATACGAAGCGGCCGGAAGCGGGACGCGACGGCAGTGGGGCGCCGGTACTAGAGCGCAGTCAGCTGGTCGTGACGTCACGCGACATGTCGTCGGTAGGCGCGAGGGTAGGTGGTGGGGGGGGAGATCGCCTCCCTCGGCCGCGTCCGCCGTCGCTGTCGCCGCGCGCGCGCGCTGTGATTTAAAACGCGGAGTCACGTGGCGGCGTATCGCTCGTGAGAGCCGGCGCTTGTACGGCCGCGGATTGGCCCGCCGCCACCATGGTTCGCGCATACCATTGGCATGACGGCGAGCTCCATGAATGACCGGGCACGTCATTCGCGTTACGATTTCACGTTCGACGGATATACGTCGTCGTTGCCCGACCATTTTCGTCGTTCTTTACAGTCGTCGGGCGATCGGTTTTCGCCGACGACTTCGCTGGAACGGCATATGACGGCGACGCCGGATAATCATCATTGGCCCCCCCCACGTGCGAGACGGCTCGATGTGTCATTGCACGATGACTATACCGGGCATACCCGGCGCTTTTTCCTCGTCGTTCTCAGTGCACGCCGCGTACTCGTTTCCGCGAACACTTTCACGAGAGATCTTTCCTCTTTCCTATCGCGCCATTCCGAATCGTGGCGTACGGTGATAGTCGTCCGAGAGTCGCCGATGCCGTTGAGCGTGCGAAAGCGCGTTCCGTTTTCAATTTTCAACATGAAAACCGGTATATCTCCAGGAGTTAAGATCCGGTCGCTAATCGCGCGCGCGAAAGCAATCTCTATGTTTAGTCGTGACCATGGAAACGCAACAAGCTCTCATCTCGCGGTACGATATCTTTAACCAGTGTCTCTTTACTACAACTTGAAGCACTTAACATAGTAGAAAGCAAGTGCATGTGGCAAAGAAAATCAGAAATATCGCAAGTATCGAAGACCACGCGAGACAAGAGCTTAGAGTGTATTTTATCACGTGGTTTCGAGGTGTGACTTCACTGGAATTTTGCTTGGAAAACCATTCCCGGATTTGTCGCGAGTGCGCGAAACTGTCTGCCAATCGCGATGCCTCGGTGACGTTTTGAATCAAATCCGAGTTGACATGTGATACGGTTCTTGTCCATCTGCGCGGATATGGAGAGGGTAGTGATAACGCTTGTACAGAGAACTTGCGGTCTTTATTCGGTAAAAATAATCTCGCATCGCTATTATTATCTACGATCGTATAAAGGATGACGACGCGAGATTTACATCAAAAGCTTCGGTCATTGATCGCTTTATTTTCCCTTGGAAAAATTTCTACTTTCGCACAAAATCGCAAAACTTAAAATATTGTTACAATAATATTATATATGTACACTTCTCTCTTCTTTGAATTTATATGCGATGCAGTTTCCATACAAAGTGAACTATAGATGATTACGTAAATGTACATACCGAGCATACTTTAGCGAAAGCATGCAGAGTGCTAGGGGCGAAAAGCTTACGATCATCTTACGTTGAATCTTAAAGACAGCAACGCTATTTTCGCATATTTCACGAGACAGAAATTATTCAAGTGCGGTTTAGAAAAAGTGGCATTTACAATTAGTTCCTTGCAAGTATCATCCGGGGATCTGCTGTCAGATCGAGATCGATTTCGCGCCAAATTGTTCGACAATGGAAGAGATCGTGGAAATATCAGGGGACGACGTTCATGAGAATCCGAAAAACTGGGGCGACACTATGGAAAGGATACAGTATTGGTATCCGGAAGGTACTTGTCTTAAATATACTTGGACACTTACGAGAGGGATAGGTTTTTCTCTGAAAACAGGGTGTCTACTCCCTGGAACGATATGGAGAACCTGGAATTCTTAGGGATTTTTTTTTTGTATCTGGAAAAATCAGGAAATTCTATAGGAATTTTATTGAGATTTGGGGGATTTTTTAATATGATTCTTTCTTTGATAATTTTGCTCATATCGTAAGCAGTAGGCAATCTACCGATTATTAATATATTTTATAAATATATATCTATTTCTGTTTAAATATTTAAAGTCTTAACAAAATATTAAGTATGCAATACGTATTTTTTGTTGTTATTTTTAATGATAAAAAAATAAAAATATGCAGGTGAAAAATGTTTATCTTATGAAAGCTATTCATTTTTTCTTTCAGTACATTTTCAAATCTAGCTCTTGAAAGTTTAAATGGCTCTTTATTTTTTCTTTGTATGAATGAAAAGCATTAGAAAGCGCACGCAATAAAACATTTTAAAAAGTTACACCCAAAAAATCTCTAAAAAAATTCTCTTGGGATTTGAAACAAAAAATCAGGAAGATCAGGAAATTTTGGTACAAAATTTTAGTAGACACTTTGGAAGAACTCTCGTTTTAATGTTCTTAAGCATACAGATAGCGGAGGTACCGGGATACATCCTTTATCATTCGTACATTCCGTGCGTATCGAACTGAGACAGCCGCTAGACCTGAATCACTCGTGATTCATTGACACGTTCCTTCTGAGAATCATTCCTGATTCAGGTACAGCGAGTGTAACGTTCACGTAATTTGACGTCACGGTAATCGTGGTACGTACATCCGTAGATAGGTAAAGTTACTTATATTTTCACAAAAATAGATTACGATCAAAGAAGAAAGGGTATCCTCTCACACAGATGAGCTTAATTCAATTAATTTCAAAAAATTCAATTAATTTCAAATTTCTATCACAGTTTCGTTAAAAAAATTGCTTGTATTGTAAAATATTTATTTAAAAAATTCTGCAATTATCTCTCTCTTTCTCTCGATAATATGTAGAGAGAGATTGAATGTAATTCTAATAATCCTAAAATATCGCATGAACATGAAGAAGCTCTGGATGATATAAACCTCGTAATAAACTGTCATATTGCGCTTTGAGAAAACAAATTTGTCGGAAAATTACGTGTGCTTAAATTGATTGCTTCTGTAAACTATTGTGTTGGCGGAATATCTTTGTAGTGACTCGAATATCTCTGCAAAATGCGGATGATTCAAAAATGAGAATGAAGCTCTCACAATTATTCTATAAATATCCATATTCTCATAAATGTTTTATTATAAACGTATTTGAGAAAAGATGTGAAGGATAATAGTGAAAATTCCTTCGGAATTAATTTTTACTAGTAAAAGGATGATAAGAAATAATCCACTTTAGGTCATCTTTTTATTATTTCTTTTTAATTAGAAATCTTTTTTTTTCAAATTTTAAATTTGATTCCCATTAAAACAAAATTCGAATTGAATTGCACTGAAAATCAAAGTTCATTGTTCTCTTTGCCTGTGTGTTTCTAAATCCGTTAGTCTATATTATATAAAATGAATCAACTTTAACATAATTAAAATCTTTTATAATGATTATGTGAGAGTAGGTCAATTATTATCATCACTATCAAAAATATATTTCCCGATTTAATATGTGACCAAATTTAGTACTTATAAAAGAATTAAGAGAGAAAGAGACTATAATAATAGCAGCAAACATTAATATAATTTAATATATTACGACTAATTATAATATTTGGAGACATTGTTATATTTAGAGACATTATTATTCTTTGTGTCGCTAGTTTTTAAATAATTATAACAGAATAAATCGGCTATTGAAAAATAGAAATTGATCAATTATATAAACATGTAATTTATATATAAACTCGAATTCCATTTCATAGAATATTTTATAAATATCCTGTTCTATAAATTTGAAAATTTCTGTGGCCACACACATTACTTGGTTCTAACATAAAACTGTTTATTCAGGACTCTTGTACGGATTCGCATCAGCAAATAGGATAGCAAAGGATAGAGAATAGATGATGAGATTGTCCAAACATTGTTTACTGCATTCAACGAACTGATATTTATCGTTTCGATCGTTTTCCATCCAATATAAATTTAACAGATACTCGAATTAAATACGATCGTGAAATTTTTAGTACAGGAAATCACTAATCGCATCAATTTGGTCGTTAATTTCTAGGAATTGATTGTTTAAATTTACACTCTGAACTTGGAATCTTGTATTGCCTCCAATAAATAATCAGCCATCCCTAATTTACACGGCATTTCCTCCGTTCCGATTTGTGCCGGAAATGCTGGATGCTAGTGGGGCAGCGAGACGCATTCCGCGGGGGAGGGAGGGAGAGAGAAGGGGTGGGTGGTGGGTGGGTGGTTGGGAGGGGAAGGCACGGCACGGCGAAGAGTCGGCGTTGAGATTCGCGTTGAGGCAGGTCGGAGCGCTACGAGCCGCGCTCCAGGCGCAGAGATCAATGCACCCGCGATCATCTCCATTCGCCGTCGTCGTTGTCGTCGTCACTCCCGTTCGTGCCTGGACAGACAGATCCGCGACAGAGACAAGTCCCCATGATAGATATCCAGATGCGCGGACGTAACGTCGAGAGGGGACCGGAAGGCGCGATGACCCCAACCAAGGAAACGTCCCGTCGACGTTGCGTACGATGAATATGGACGAGGAAAGCGAAAGAAGAAGCGATAGGTCGACGGAGGCTCATTATCGCCCGTTGAAGACGATGACGACGACGACGACGACGATCCCATGTCCTGCTCGCGAAATGGTGGTGAGCCCGACGACGCTCGCGCCCTGTGCAACTGTGCAGTGAAATGCAAGTATATAACGTCGATGCAAGCCGGCGGGTGAGAAGTGGGCGTCTCTGCATGGACACGCGCCAATCGTTAGTCGGAGGAATCGTTTATCGACGCTCCGAAGGAGGAACACGAAGAGTGGAATTTGGCGTGGAGGATCATCCGCGAGTGTGTTTCCGAGAGAGTCGTCTGGACGAGTCGTTGGATAATCGTCGACCTGATCTACTTTCGACGAGAGGAATCGATCGAGAAGGAAGGTCCTTATTGGAATTGGAAACCTCAACCAGAAGGATTCTGCTTGGTGTATCGTGTCGGTCGGATGATCGGTTAAACGAGAGCCGGTTTGAATCGAAGAATTACATTGATCGAGCGTTATAGAGATCCCTCCCACATTCGAGTTTGTGACTAATCGATGCAACGCAGGCGGCGTACCTCGGGCGACCCTTGGAGAAAAGAAGTGAGAGCGAGAGAGAAAGGATGCCGAGAGTGGCATTTTCCGATGTTTCATCGTTCTTCCTTCAAGTCGGTCATTAAGATCAAAAACTCGGATGCTTTCAAGTGATTCACGGTGGTGAATCTGACATTTTCGCTCACTACGTATGTGATAGAGATCGAGGAAAAGGATTTTTCGAATATCGGTCATCGAAACGGAAGCGACAATAGAAGGTATTTTCTTCAGTAAATTGATGATGTCACTCATGATCGATCAGGATACACCTTATAAGTGTATTATGCCTATATTATTCTAGAGTTTTTACCGGAAACTGTGCCCACACACACACACACACATGAATGCCGCACAGACGGTTGCAGTTTCCATGTTCTTCGAGGCTGGAAAGAGTAATCGAGAGCTTCAATGAGAAGCAGCCAGTCTCCGAGTAATAAATGGTGACCTAGAAGAAACAAGAACCCCGAGGGTGGAGTCCAGAAGAGAGAAAGAGAGAGAGGATGGCAATGAGAGAGGAAAAGAAAAAGAAGGAGATCCATCCAAAATACTAGAGGGGGAACAAAAGAGCAAATTTAGAGAAAGAAAATAGCACGGTGGCACGAGATCACACTAATCACTTCACCGTTTGATCTCGTTATTATACCACATAAATATCTTTAGGATCGCTTTCGACAGAGTCTCGATTACTTAGAAAGGAAGAATGTATTCGCGAATTACGGTGTATAATTTTAGAAACTAGTTACCCCTTCAACGAGAGGAAGGAAGGTTCGAAGCTTTTCGTCGCAAAACATCGTCGTATACTTACTCGATAAAGGAGGAAGCACAGGGAGAAGTGAAATCGCATCGAACTGAATCGCGAGCGAGTTGAAAGGTGTCAGGAGGGGTCAGATTCGACGCGGATCGATGTGACATAGTAGCCTGACGTCGGTGGACGGCGATTACGAGCCGGAAAAGCAAGCCGACGAGAGACACTTTACGCGCGCGAAGGTGTACACGGGGAGGGGAATTGCGATGGTGATGCAACAGTCATCGACCGAGCGGAGGAGACGCCTGCGGGAAATAGAGCAATGGTGAAAGTGCACGTCCGCGCGCGATCTGTTTCATCCTCCGCGAGTATCGCGAGAGGACGAGCAAGAAGTATCGACAGATCGAGGTATTACGGAGAGTGACGACTCGGTCAAGGTAGCTGCCAAGTGGTAGACAATTAGGAACGCGAGGTATCCTCTTGAGACTGATGCGGCGATGCGTTCATCGATTGACCCCGCGAGTCGTCCTTCGCGAAAGAGAACAGTGGACGAAAGCCCACTTGCGCGTATCAACGTGGTAACGATAGATTAAAGGTTTAGTACGGATGGAGTTAGGTAAGATACGCGTGATGACCGAGTTACCGGAGACGGAGGACCAACGACCTCTTTCGCCAAGTTATCCCGACGAAAGTTATGCGCTGAAACCGCCAACGATTTACACGAGAGCTTGTGGACGAGAGGCTTTTGAAACTGAGTTTGGGGAGGAAAGATACGGGGCTGTAGATATGGGAACTACTCGTCTCGAGAAATAAATGTTACTTTCAGAAGGAGACGTAAATCCCTTCGCAATGAGGGGTCTTGCACGAGGGATTCATTGCGCTTAATAAGAGAAAATCTGCGACGAATGAAAGAGAGAAAGAAAGAAAGAGAGAGAAAAAGGAATAAACAGAATTAGCGAGCGAGCATTGGTCAATTAATTGCGGCTTCCTTGAATTCTGTGAGACTTTAGCGCGACGTAGCGCGGCTCTTAGGAGAAGGACGTATTATGCACAGGTGCACGGATTACCGTAGTATCGATAGGATGTTCAAGAGCAGGATTTTCCAGGGCGATCTCAGCCCCGTCCCAATTCCAGGCAGCCTGCAACAATCCAGTACGTAGTAATGTGCAGCTAAGCCGCGTTATATCGATCGATCGGCCTCGAGCGACTCCTTTGCGCAGGAGATCTCTACAACCCTTTTTGTACGATCGATCCCCGAGATCCTCAATCATTATTATTTCTTTGAGATACGGTAACCAGATTGTCCGATATTAATTTTTCGCTATTATAATGACCTTTGGTATTTGGCAGTACGTACGTTGATGAGAATGGTTGACCTTTAAATTAATTAATTATCAACCATTTTCTCTGCAGAATTTATTAATCAAACATTTATTTTTGGATGATTTTTATAGAAAACTAGTCAGATTTATTATTTAATTTTTTTATTTTTAATAACACAAAAGATATTCTTTTCCTATTATATTTATATTATTATCTTTTTTATTTTTTAAAAATGCAATCGAATTAATTAATAAATATAAAAACGAAAATACAATACAAACAATCTTTCATTAAGTTTATTCTACTTCGTTATTATAAGTGATTTAAACAATATCTGAAAATTTTTGAAAAAAAGTAATTTTTTAAGAGCATATTTTCCTGTTTTTCGAGCATTTTTTTTATTTTATGGAGCATATTTTAGGTGCTTAAAACAGGTTCTTTAAAGCATATTTTTGGTTGCCCTAATAATTATATATGAAATATGCTCATATATAAATATATACAAATATATATGATTATATATAAATATATATGATTATATATAAATAATCTGAATATTTTTAAATTAATTCTAATTAAAAGAACTATTGCTTGTCGCTAATTTTGTCGATATTAAGTTTAAGAAACTGCCGTTGATTTGTTTTTTATATATATATTATTGATGTACCATCTTAAATATATAGGAAGGTTTTGAAATTTTAATAATTAATAATTTAATTAATTTAATTAAATAAATTTAATAATTTTGTACCATATAAATTTTATAATATTGCGCTCATTACATTGATCTTATTCTCTTCGCGCAGATTTAATAGGAAATATTCAAATCTTAAGAATTTAAGGATACAAGATTGAACTTGAGATCAGAAATCATTTTTGCAATTATTTTTCTTCATAAAAAATACAAATGGAAGAAAAATTATTTGGATTAGACTTCATCATTCTATTCTAAAGTTGAAGTTTACTATTTTGGAACTATCTCTATCCAACAATTCCAAACTGCAGTATGCAATATCATAATTGCTAATATTAACGAATATATATGTATATATATGTTAATATATTAATGATATTAATAAATTATATTTATCTTGTAGGTCAGCAAGGCCAGCAGAGCGAGCAGGAACTGGCGACGAAAATGCTGCAAATTCAAAGCAAAAGATTCTACCTTGACGTAAAACAAAACAGACGTGGAAGGTTTATCAAAGTCGCTGAGGTATTATTTTATTTTTTAATTTAAATCTCGGCGCATATATCGTACAGGGATTTAGATTCTACAGCAGAAACAAAAATTGTGAAATCAATTGCTATAATTAAGCAATTAATAATTAATAATGAAATATTAAAGGTTGAATTTTTACATGAAACAATACCTGATTAAAATAAGTTTCTAAAAATTTCTTAGTTTTAATAACTTTTTATTTTATTAATTCTGATAATAAAACTAAAAAAATTTATATGATTAAGATGATATATCTGCCATATCTGCCAAATGGTTGCAGATATTTTTTGACAAATTTGTTTTATTAAAATTACACAGGCACATACACTATAACTACGGATATAAAATCGCATGTCATATATGAGAAATCTCTTCTAAAACAATAGTTTATTTTTTTACATAATTGTTTTTTGTTTTTTTTTTATTTCAGATCGGAGCGGATGGAAGAAGAAGCCAAATCTATCTGGCACTCAGTACAGCATCCGAATTTCGGGACCATCTGTCGACGTTTAGCGATTTTTATGCATCTCTAGGTACATTATAATATCTGTCATCTCAGAAGAGTACGATTCGAAATCTTAATTATGGCTAATATATATGAAATATTGTAGTCCTAATTAAAAATCTATCGATAAAATCTTAATATTTCATAATGCAGTCTAGAATTTGTTTTAACTTGCAATAGTTATCTCGTCAATGATTGATACTTGTCTTTATTGTAATGAAAAGAAATATTTAATTTATTTTTGTTTGTGATACTGGATAATCAGGTCCACCAAATCCGGAAAACGTACCAGACGACGGAAAACTCAAGTCAGAAATGATGGTGAAGGATAATAGGCGATATTACTTGGACCTCAAGGAGAATTCTCGCGGCCGTTTCCTGCGGGTGAGTCACCCTGTATGTACCAGCCAATATACTTACTTTCTACGCTAAGTCATAAAAGGAATCTGTCGGCTTTCGTCTCAAGAGATGTGCTCTTTTCGAAGGATGACAAAGACAAATAGAACTCTTCTAGAATCGTTGATGAAGAAGGAATATGTGGAATCCGATATAATGATTTATGTGTTATAGATACAAACCGTACAACGAATCGACATGGAATATCTCAAGTATAATCTTTACGTTGCTCTTCGCAGGTGTCGCAGACGATAACACGGGGAGGACCTAGAACGCAGATTGCAATACCAGCGCAAGGTATGATAGAGTTTCGTGACGCGTTAACGGACCTTCTCGAGGAATTCGGGACGGATGACGGTGGCTTCAAAGGCGACTTGCCGGAGGGCCGTTACATGCGTGTGGATAGTAAGAATTTCTATTTTGATATCGGCCAGAACAATCGTGGCATCTACATGAGAATTTCTGAGGTACGTACTACTCTTACACACGGAAAAAAATATCAAAAAAACCAAATTAGCCGAAACTGATGCCAAAATACTTATTTCGCTGAGAAAAGGTTAACTCTTAATTGACCAAGTAATCTAACAATAATATTATATATTATATAAGACATTCTTTCTCTGTATGTATGAAATATTCATAGTTATGTTAAATTAATTAGGAAAAATTTATTAGTTTCGTACATGTAGTCCTAAATAAAGCACAAAATAAATGTAATCTACTCAATATTATGCTTATAATCCAATGACAGATAATAATGCAGGACGAAACATTTTTGCAGGTGAAGACAAACTTCAGGACAGCCATCACCGTACCGGAAAAGTCTTGGGCGCGTTTCCGTGATATCTTCGCAGATTATTGCGAAAAGATGAAGGAGGGCGGCGGCGTTAGTAGCAGCAGCGGAGGGAATGTATTGTCCGAGGGGAAGGGCTCGGTGGTGGCACAGGTACCATCGCCATCTTCGAACACACAGCCTAACCCCAATCCAAATTTAGACTCTCCCCTAATCAAGTGAAAAAGGCTTTAACTTAACTCGAACATTTGGGAATTATAACTCGTTTTCAAGTCATTAAGCGAAGTAAAGGAAGTTGTCAGAGTCTATGCCATCGTCGGTCATCATCATTATTATTCATCGGCTATGACATCGACATGGTCATCGGCATGATCATCGTCATTGTCACACCGCCATCGACACCACATTACTGTCACCGTCGCCTGTCACCGAGATACCGTCATCGACACCGTCATCGTCATCGCCACATCATACACCGTCACACTTGCCATCAATTGCGCGAACACCAAAACTCGCCTGAAATATGGCCATTATATCGCAAAGAGTATCAGCCGATTGTTGAATGTATATTCATATAATCACAGATTTGATAAAAAAAAGAAAAAAGACGGGGTGCACGACGGTATATGGTTATTAATACACAAATGAATCGGCGCGTCTCGCGAAGATGAGAAAGGCGGAAGGTGGGAGAGGATAGATGGTGTGTGTGTATGTGTGTGTGTATGTGTGTGCGTGTGGGCGTGTGTGTGTTTGCATGGAGGGAAAACGAGTCACTGCCGCTCGTGCGACTAACACAGAATAAACAACAAGAAAAAAAGAGACACGCAACAACGGAAAATCGAGAATATAATTATTGCGCGATATCTTTTTAGGCGAGCACGAGTTGCCATCGATTAACGTTATGAGTACTACCGTTCATTTCCTGGCTTTTTGCGAACGCACGTCTGTTTGGTTTTGCTAAGCTTCTTGTACTAATTTTTCATTCTCAGACATTCAGGGTACGCGCGTGCGCGTTTCACTTGTCACTTGTGCGTTGAACGAACAAGAATCTTCGAACGGGAAATGGACTGTAGTGTGGATCACGTTACAATTGAATTTGATCGTTCAGAATTTATGAATAAATAGTTGTTATATTAACGATTATATCACGACGAAGTAGAAAGGGGAAAAAGCGTGTGATTTGTCGCGAGGGAAAGCGAAAATAAAGAAAAAGATCTATCGTGTCTACGTAGGCAGTACGTATGTCTCTTTTCGATTTAACCGACAAAAAAAATATCTTGAATCAAGTCGCTGTATTTTCAACGGACACTCGTTGAGCAAAAGTCGCGAATGGTGTGAATGTAGATAAAATATTGCTGAACGCCTCTTGCGACTCCATTGTCATTTTCTCGACGATAAAAGAGTGCGATTTATTACTGCGGTTAAGTCGAACGAAACATAAGAGGAAAAGAAACCAAGAATAAGAATGAAAAAAATATTCGCGTATTATCGCAAATATTCGAATATTTATATATTACTGTCTGCATTGCGACATCATACACTCGTTTAAAAACTGAATGACGTCTTTATTAAAAGTAATGAGATAATATATATATAGCATAGGTGAGGGAGAGAGAAAAAAAAGGGATGGTAGCCCGAGAGAATATGAAACCATATATTAATACATATTAATATGTATATTATACAAAGTTAATTATACGTTTTGTTTCATCGATTCATACGAAAGGGGTGCACGCGATCATATATATATGAAAAAGACGCGTAAGAGACACGCGCTTTTACAAAATGCAAAAAACACACACATATACATACACATACATGCATGGATTTATGCACGCAAAAACATGCAATATACATTTCGGGAAAAAAAAAAAAACACCAAACACGCGATTTCGATATTTTCCACACCGAATTCACACAGAATGAATAACGACACGCGCACGACGTATATTCCACCATAAAAAAAAAAAAACATATTCCGCCGCAAGGAACACGGTACAAGAGACGGTGTATGTAATTAAGTTACATAAGTTTGAACGATGATCGAGTTCTAACACAATTGCATATTAGGTATGTATTATACGAATGCATAATAGGTATTTATATAGAATCTATATAACTGTATAATTGTAACGAAATGCCAATGTCCGCGGACCCAGGCAACTGTACAAATCTGGCGACGTACAATCAATCGAATTGAAAATCGTTGTTGGGCGTTGCAGTTGCTTAGGTCCCTCTTGCCGGACACAGGAAGAAAGATGAGACAAAACGAATGGCACAGAAAGGGAAAAATAATATTTCAAGAGAGAGAAGGAGGAGAATAACACGCAATTGTGTTATCTCTCTGAGTAAAAAGGAAATCTAAATACGCTTCGATTCTGCAACGCTGTGCTAATATCAACACAATGATAAATATCTATCCGTTCTCTTTTGTGTTTCTTCTGTGATTGAAACGGCAAACCGACATAAATCTATATTTCGCACTGGTGCGAATATGAAACGAATGAGAAACCCATATAGAGGAAGAAAGACACGTAGATACGCGTTATTAAAAAATGCTATTTAATTGGGGCGCGTTCGATTGAGTGCGTGATCGGCGCGTTTGCATTTTCGATGAGATATAAAATGAGTATAATTTTATTTATTTTCTAGCGACAAACTCTTATTGCTAACGTATTTCGATAGTAAAATAATTATTCTTCAGTTGCATTTCCTTTTAAAATTTACAATTTCGGCTGGTCTGAATTTACTTAGCACGTAGATCGTTTCGACGAATATAAATATGAAATATAAATCACAATAACAAATTCAAGTACGCACGAGTGGGTGATATATATTGAGACAAGAATCCCGATCCTCTTCGATTTTAAAGTATAATTTTTTCCAAGATGATCTTTCTCACATTCTTTCTCTCATTCTTTGAACGCACGTTTAAAACGATCGTTCCGCGATATCGATATATATAATTTGTATTAATTAATTACTAATAACTAAAATTAACGAGAAGGACAAACGAAATCTATTTCAACAGATTGTTGACGAGCTTTTACATGTCTGTACTTTTTTTTTACATCTTTTCAAATTTATTATCGGAAATTTTTTTGTTAAGTTCAAGGGAAAGGGGGAGAGGGGTCAGAAAAAAACCTGCGATCTGTGCAACAAGCATTGTATATTGTTCGGATAGAGCGTTGTAAACGGAAACTGCAAGGAAGAGGCATAGAAAAAAATCGTTCACTGGCGCAGATGGTATGACATTGTGATCTATGCAAATTACAAATCACAAAGCAGCCACAAGTAGTAGATATTTAAGATATAAATACACGTAAAAAAAAAAACACGTACGTCTATGGCGACTAGAGAAAAAGGGGAGGAAACACTGTGTTACTGAAATGTACGCGCGATAGCGTGCATTTTAACACGTTATTAAAAAGCGAGGACGACTACAAACGTACCTAACTAAAAAAACGCAGAGAAGGCGAGAGAAAGAGAGAAACAGATATAAAGAAAACAAAAATAATGAAGAGATACCGTCTGACACACGTAAGAATAAGCAAAGTAATATAAAAATGAATGAAAAAAAAACATGACGCTCCTGCCACGCAGCGAGTCTTTAGACAGCTTTAAGATAATAATTATAAATGATAAAAATAATAATTATTAAATAATAACGATAAACTTTCTATATGTTGAATCGTGTCTAGTGAGAGAAGTACTATCGAAGTAAAAAAAGCAACACAAAAAAAAAATAATAATACTACTATCGCCACACACATGAATTAATGCAGTTTATATGACCATTGATTAGTTGTCTCTATCTCGCGCGCGAATGTTCTTTTCTTTTTTTCATAATATATATAATATAGCGAGGAGAGAAAAGGGGTGGCTGTTAGAGAAATAGCTTTTGGTGTTTCGTTTGATGTTTTATGAACAAACGTTGCGCGGTTGGTTGAACGGCGGACCTTTTTGCTAAATGTTATAATATCCACAAAAGGGTGCCGGAGTTCCATATACCTGTGTTTTTATATATTCGGTGGAGTTGAACACCGGAGCTACTGTTATCCATTGTCACGCGCTAATTCTTATCACGTAGGATTTTCATATGTGTACGTGGATCGCGAGCGACAATTGCGTGTAACGATATGATATCGGCGTTTGCATTGTAAAAAAAATAAAAAAATAAAAAAAACGCATTCATTTCCAAACAACTCACGTCTTTCATAGCGAGACGAGTCGTCGCGATAGCGACGTAATCTCTCTCTCGCTGCACGAAATTGTGGCTCATAAAAAGAAGCGAAGCTTTATCAAGCTAAGTTTCACCTAGTATGAAAATCCTGTCGTTGCTGCGAATATTATTATTATTATTATTATTATTATTATTATTATTATTATTATTATTATTATTATTACGATTATATTGTCATTATTCTTACTATTATGATTATTCTTTTTATTACCGCTATGATTAACTATTAGTATCTATTATATTATCGGAGAGAGCTGTTGTGTACTGAGATTGCTAATAACGAAACCAGTCTCGAGCGGGCTGATCTCTTTCGTTTTCTTTTTAGCATCACACGACAACGATCAGTCGAGTTTGCGAATTTAATGGCTTTTCCGTTCTCCATCCTTTTATTCCTCTCATCCCAATCAATCTCGATCTCAGCCAAATCCTTCCTCTCTCTCTCTTTCTTCGCATCTACTTACTTATGTAAGCACATTTTCTTCTCTTCTTCTCAGATTCGTTTCCGTTCTTTCTAATCAAGTCTGATATAGAGTGCGGTTTCGCGAAAGAGATATAGAGAAGCGAGATGATGACAGATGCGAGTCAAAAAGAGAGAGATAGAGAGATTCGACGGGAAGTCGATTGATACCATCAAAAGTTGGATCGACGGTGTTAAATTAAACATTGATTCGCGATCTAGCGGATCAAGCAAGAGTAATCATCCTTCGATGCGTTGCGGTTTCCCTTTTTTTTTCCTCCTGGCGCGCTCTCGCGTGTGTGCATGCGTGCGTGAATGCTAATTTGTGTGCGTGTGTAGGCTCGACAATCGAAGCGAGCGAGCGAGCGAATTCTTTGTAAGGCGAGAGAAGAAATTGAGATGAGAAAATTGCCGATTGCGAGGACGATGCGCCGTCGAATTACGTTAACACCGCGATTTTCGGAGGGAGTTATATACGCAGGAATTATACGTGTCCTTGAACTATTACATTATATCAATAGCGTAACAAAAATCAAAGTTTGTTGTTGCAGAAAACAGTGAGAATTACTGCGATTGGCCTTTGTATGTCATTTGATTTATTAAAGATAACAGTCTGTTGCAACTTCCAACGTTTTTCATCTTCCCACATGCACACAGTGCAAGTATCCTTCTCTCGCATCACGCATGTAACACAATTGTAATTAATTTATATATTATTTTTAAAATCATCTCTTAAGGATATCTCAACGTGTCAGAGATATTTTGCTTTTAAGACATGCGCGAGACATTTTTGTATATCGCTAACGAAGTTTACGATCTGTATTCGAATGAAATATTTTTTCCGCTAAATACAAAAACGCTTGGACAGCGCGACGTGATATATTTTCGTGGTGCATCGTCCTTGGTATAAGATAGGCATCGTGTAAGTAGATGCGACGCTAAAAAAAACGTTTAACGCAGCGCGCAACTCTCAAACGTTACTCGTTTCTCTCTCGAGGAAAATCGATATATCAGCATAATATTAATTGTTATATAAATATTTATCGCGCGAGTCGAGTTTTCGAAATGTTACATGCTCGAGGATGGTTTGTCGGACACGAATTCGTACCAATTGTTTCTTCGGATAAACGTTTTTCCGCCACATAGTTTGTAATATACTTCAATATTAACTCTTAAAGAATAAACACACACGAAAAAAAAAAAAGAAATAACGTCGGGGGCGAAAGATCGGTTCACTGGCACGATAACCGGGGATAGGCACAAGGAGAATTTCACGCACTTTAAATAATATCCGAGGACCTGAGAATTCAAGGAACCCCACCTTCCCCAAATGCATCCGAGGAACCAAGATCGCGCGTTGCTCGCGAGATTTCGGGACTCGTTTGATTCCAGAATATGTCACAAAGGATCCCGCAATTCGATCAGATCGCACGTACAGATACGCGAATTCTAGAATTCAAGATTTTCTAAAATTTCAAGATCCTAGGATTTCGACAATTCGCGGACTCTCGAAGATCCAATTTATTTAAGAACTCCGAATGGTCCAAGGTATCCGAGATCCAAGGGATTCCGATTCGGAAAAAGTGCACGTCTCTGGGATCAGTCACGACCTTTCGCCCATTGCTGCAAGATAAAAATCATAGCTACTAAAGACAAGTCGTCTTTAACACGTGTATCACGTTCGTGTAACGCGAATGATCGTGTAATATATGTATTGTAAGGTGGTTAGCAGAAAGGCGCTTAAACATCAGGATAAGCAGCAGGAGGATAACCGAATCAGAAAAGAATGAAAAAGAAAAAAAAAAGTTACCGCGCAAAAGAATTGCTGTTCATCTATTCGACATTGCGTTTTCGAGATTAAAAAAAAAAAAAAATACGTGACAGATAAATGAACGATAAAAACAAAAACAAAAAATAGAAATACACAGTACTCTACGGTTCACACGTTCGAACGAAGAGAAAACTAAAAAAAAAAAAAAAGAGATTCATCGCATCGATGTTGAATGTAACACGTTTTACAAGGTAACAGAGCATTTCATTTTATAACATTTCTACTGTCTATACTTTCACCCGGACATTCTTATCGAATGAAAGAAATGGAAAAGAGATCCACCTGTCCTGATACCCTCCAGCATCTCCTTTAAAATTGACGCGATCGGTCCTGAGGGTGCACCAAGTCCGTTTTACACGATCTAACGAATTTGCGACAAAATTCTATTTATAATATAATGAGCTGTATAGAAAATATTTTCTCATATATACATATACACAAAATTAAATTTATATTATATAATCTATATACACTTAAAAATTAATATTCTCTAATCGAATATTGATATCGACTATATCTATCTAATATTCTTGCAGTACATTTAGAATGAAAATTTTCAATTGTGACATAAATTACAATTTTTTTCATTGCAATATTTTTTAAAATCGTCAATAATATTTTTTATAATTTCTATTGTATTATAGAGTGTATAAACTACGCCTTAAAACGCGAAATTTCGTAAATTATGAATCGTGCAAAACGGGGCTCTAAATCGACGAATTTTCTTTCCTCAGCCGAAAGTACACAAAAACTATATATATATATATATATATCTGTCTCCCTCTTAAATTATGCATAAGCGTCGTTTTGAATCGCGACACAACAGTGTTACAGAATACGAAATATTCTTTTGTTGTAAGAGCTATTAATGTATTGATTTCGCGTTAAACGTGTGCAACGCATGCACTGCACGCATGTATAGCAGCAAATGTCGGATTGTGTGAAAATCTTTTAAGAAACTTTTGTTACGATGAACTAAACTGCAATCTCTCTTTAACAGAACGATTAAATCAAAAGAGTTACATCAATTGAATGTTTATGATGAGCCCCTGATATTTTTATTACGTTTAACCCTTTCCAATCTTTTATCGAAAATTTTATACATTTTTTTCTTACCATCCCATGTTCGAAATTTTTTGACACAACGTTTTTATCTCTTTTTTTTCTGTTTTCTCTTTTAATTATGTTTAACAATATATACCGATGCTTGTTTTCTCATATACAGACATACAACATAAATGTAAAGTATATTTTGTTTACGACATTCAAATCCTATTGAATGCTGACTGAGGATTGGAAAGAGCTAAATAGATTGTAAGGCCATCAAAAAAAAAGTTTATTCATGTTCAAAATTACTTGATGATGGGTAACTGTACGTAAGAAAAAAAAAACACATTATTTCGATTATGAATCTTCTGACATGAGAATCTCTCAGGATTTCTAATATTGAAATTCGTGTTATATTTTTGATTTGTTATAATATTGATATTGATTCGTTTCGCTTATAGTCCATTATGCAATCAGTTTTGACGTTAGAAGTAAATATAAATCATATATGACACATTCTTACAATATGTATTGAAATAAATTAATTTTTTGGTATGCCATTACATATATTAACATTAGAATAGATCTGTGAAATGTATGTATGTGTTTAATTCTCTTTTTATATAAAAATAATTGATGAAAATGAAAATCATTTCATTTATTGATGAAAAACAACGAGTCTTATTGATTTATTCTATTAAATGTTAGTATTGGCATATGAAAAAAATTGATTTTCATCTATAATGCAAGAAGGATTCGTATATTTTTCGTTTCTGACGTCATAATCTAACATGATTGCAATAAGAGAAAGGAAATCTTGTATGTATCTATGCACTTTTCATCCCTTCATATCCTTGGATTTTAAATCATATGGTCTTTTCGATTTTTAGCTTCGTGAGTTTTGCGAAGTCTGGGTTTTTAAATCTTCAATTTCTTGCATTTTATAGAGAAAAAAAATTATCAGACGATTTCTCAGTTCTTTACTTATCCCTATTTTAATTTACTTTAATCCATCTCTATCCAAAATCTTCTTTTTCTTAAGCCGTCCACTTAATGTTATCGTCTGAAATATATTTTTTATGCAACTTCGAAGAGGAATATTTCTTGCATCCTTGTACGATTATTCCCTGTGTTTGCTCTTCTCGTAGCAGATTTGCTTCGAATTTGTATATTGAGAAATATATTCCAGATGTATTATAGCATTAAGGGGTCTTCCTAGTTTGACGCTTTGAAAATAAAGCAATTTTTGGCGAATTTTTTTAAAGAAAAGTATAAAACATGTTAATTCTAAACTTTGCACGTTTATTAAATAACATTTCAAATATATCCTGAATTTTTTTCAAACAAAAATATTTGTTCGTTTCGAAGTTATAGTAGCCTAACCAGGGTGTCTAAAAAAAAAAATTGTTGTTCGTGGGGAACATGATTTCAGCCGTTATAATCACTTGAAATAAAAAACCAAAAAGATTCTTAATCTGTATGAGTGCGGCTATCGTGTGAACTAGAATTAAATCGATATTTGCAAAATTCAAATTTTGCGACTTACAAAACTAAACAATTTTTTAGTAAAAAATGAAATTTTTTTTTTTTGAGACGCTGCCATTTTTTCATTTTTCAATATATTTTTTTTTTATTCTAGTTTATATGATAGCCACATTCATACAGATTAAGAATCTTTTTGGTTTTTTTATTTCAGATGACTGGCTGATAACGGCTGGAAACGTTGTTCGCCACGACAACAATTTTTTTTAGACACCCTGGTTGGACTACTATAACTCCGAAACAAACAAATATTTTTGTTTGAAAAAAATTCAGGATATACTTGAAATGTTATTTAATAAACGTGCAAAGTTTAGAATTAATATGTTTTATACTTTTATTTTTAAAAAAATTCCCAAAAATCGCCTTATTTTCAGAGTGTCAAACTAGAAAAACTCCTTAAGTGGACTCTCTGAGTAATCACTATAATAAATAAATTATATTATCTAACTAAGCAAAGCGGTGCAAGACTATTCGGGTCAGTATAAATATTTCCTATTATAGATATCTCTATATTACACACAGTGTAACTCTCTTATACTCTAAGATCTCTTGTCGCAGCATCACATTATTCATGTAGCGATTTTCCGTTATAATCGCTATCTTGATCCGACAGGTCGGGCGATCCAAGTCCACCGGCAGCAAGAGCAAAACGGAGAAGGTACAGAAGGCCGATAAGCGGCAGCGTAAGTTCCTGAAGAGGCGAAGATCCTTGCCGCGTCAAACGGAGTCCTCCCTCGTCGATCCCGTAAAATCCATTTCCGCTCCTGTCGCCGCTGCATCCCCATCCTACTCCACTATGACCGTATCCAGCAAAAGCACGGTGGTTTCCGAGGGAACAGCCTCTAGCGATTCTTCCAGAGTATCTCGGGAGGTCCAGCAAGCGGTCCCGCAACTGGAGGTGATCCGTGTTTAAATCCGAACGTAGATAGAATGGCAAGAGGAGAGAAACAGGAGATCTGACGTATTATAAAAGCGATATAAAATTCCAACGAGTTTGAATTTCGATTGGCCGCAGCCACGCGAAATTCACTTCGACATTTACCTGTGGCAATGAAAATATATGTAGTTTTTTTTTTACCTGTGGTATCGGAAATTAAACTCGTCGTAAGTTGTATCGATTTCATATCCGCTTGAGAAATCACGAGATACCCTCTCGGATTTTCCATTGGAAAAGGCAAAATTTGCATTGCTTCCAACACCATGAATATCAATCCTGTTATTTTTTGTCGTTCATATTGCGCTTATCCTGCTCCCATATAACCATCCTCAATCTTACAGAAGAATGAATCGTCGAGTATAACTATTTTTAGCTATTTTACAGGAAATTCTAAAAATTTAGATTATTTCGATAATTGAAAAATTATTTCTCAATTTGAATTTGAATAATACATGCATGCGCAGAAATTCGTATGAGACTATCTATTCACAAGGTGCACTTTTTACTTATGAAATATGCGCAAAATTTTCATTTAAACATAAGAGACGACGAATTAAATTATCAATTTAAAAATCGTATAATTATAAATGATTACAATAGCAGAACTTACAATATACTTCTGGAAAAAATATATTATACAAAAATATTTAAACTAAATTTCAAATGTAATGTATTAGCAAAGAAGCATTACTATCGTTTGATTATATAACGTTAATGAAAACGATGTTATATAACAATAGAAATAATGATTTTTACTCATATTTTTTACGTCATAAATACTGCAATTAAAATACGATCTTTTTTCGAAATTCTTTTGATTAAAAAATTAGAAAGAAAAAAATAGCATATGAGAATCTTATAGATTTATCAGTTTATTAGTTGATTAAAAAATGTATTTTGCTTTTATATTCATCAGATGTTTATTGCGTTAGTTTATATGGCGGATGATTTTCCATGATTTTTAAAGTAATGCTCACATAATTAAAAGTTAACATTTTTGGTTTATGCGGTGAATCACACCGGCAAAAACATTTCTTTTCACTTGGAATATAAAAGCAATTATTTTTCCGCACTGTGGAAAGCGTTAAAATCTTTTTTTCTTCGATTTGAAAAATATTTCATCTCATTTTTTCAATTCGATTTATATAACATGAATGTAAGATGTATTTTAGTAATGTAAAAATGAACGCGTTACGAGAAACTTAAAAACTATCGACTTTCATTATACCGAATTTTCTTCGAAAACATTCCAGCCTTTATTTTGTGGCCGAATAATAAAAATAAAGATCTGTCTTATTTGATATACACAAGCTTATTATTTTAAAGTATTCAATAAATATAGATATAAACGTTTTCATAATTAATCACAAATTATATTAATGTTATAAAAATATTACATTAGGACGCGCGATGATAAAATTATTATGTACTTACATAAAATTGCAGAGAGTTTCTCTCCACAATTAATTTTGTGCGTCATTCATAACATAATTTGCAAAACATTCAAGCCATTCAGGAAAATGGGACATTATAATTAATAAAACATCATTATTTTCGTTATAGATTTGTTTTAAAGTTTGCAATGTATATTTTCGTGTCTGCATTGTATGATGCTCAGGCTTTATCCTTAATAAGATTATAGAAGAACGCAGTTTCCTAGGGTAAAGATCTAATATGTCTTTATCCTGATTTTCACAACAAATAGATATCCGCTTTAATATCAAATCTATGAAATGTAGAATTGCAGGAGCATAATGCAGCTGAACGAGTAATTCCTTTAAAAAATTAAATATTAATTGAAAAACACACATAGACCCAACACTAAATTCTAGTAGTTGATTCAGTGTCTTCTCATTCTGATTATCTACGCAATTTTCTTCCTTTGAATTAGAAAACGTACATACAAAACTGTCGAGCAATGGTTTTTCTATTAATTTAAATTTTTGCGTAGTATATATTTCTTCTTTTGTGGATAGTTTAAGATGCAAATTTGAATATAGAGAATTATGTAACAATTTCTCAATTTTATCATTTGTTTCTAATTGTGAAAGTCTTATAAGTAACTTATCCATGTGATGTATAAAGGACGGATTCTCAAATGATAGATGCATTACAGCAGTGGTTAAAGATATCAAAGCATCTTCCGAGCAGTCTTCATTTAAAATGTCATCTGTGAGATATTTGTCTAACAGAATGCTCACAAACTTCAAACTATTTTCTTTGGACGTAAATATTGGTAAATGTTCAAAATTGCTTGTTGTTCTACACCATTTCCGCAAGTTGTCCTGGAATATGATTATACTAAAGTATAAATTAATTAAAGAACTTAAAAAAAAGTTAAAGAAGACATATAACATTAATATCTTAATGCAAGAAATTAACATACAATTATCAACAGTCGAACTGAATAGCGTTGATATGCTTGCTTTGATACTTTGTAACATAAGAGATTGCTCAACGATGTACACAAAGTATTTAATACTGTATCAGACTGTGAGATTAACAAAGCTTCTCTTGACGCATCTTTGCAATCCTCAGATTGAACAATGTTTTCGGCATCACCATAACTTTTTAATATTGTTTTTAATATATCTGCATCCATATCACAAATTGCGATGTAAGTATGTAAGTAAATTTTTAATCATATCATGCTGTGCGATTCATAATTCATTGTGCAATTAATCTGTAAGAACATAACATAATTATTAATAAAATTAAGTAAATGTTTAGTTTAAGTCGCTCGCCTTAAATTTTGATAAAAATATTCATTCAAATACAATAATTTAAATATAATTTAAATATTATATATTATATATATATATATATAATAGCGGGAGGAATAAAGAAACACAAACAATTAATTTACCTTATAAATATGTGCACTATTTTTAAAAATTATTAAATAAAGTTAGAGTGTATATTTTATTTCTATAATTGTGAATACAAAATTTAAAAAAACGACTATTTTATTATGTGGACATACATTATGACAAAAAATATAAAAGAAAATTTCAAAAGTCTAGGATTATAAAAAAACGAGAAAGTTATTCATGTTATGAGAATCGCACACTTTCTTATGACCGTATCAGACTACGCATTGAAAATTGAAGATTGAAGATTAAAGATTGAAATTTGACTAATCAGAACAAAAGGGACTAAAATTTCTTTGTCCTGATTGGACGAGAAAGTTATTCATGTTATGAGAATCGCACACTTTCTTATTGGTTGTCAGATAGTCAGATAGGAAATTTATAAGATTATCCTATGTATATGAAAAGTTTCTAGATTCAGAACTCAATTCGTTTTCTCCCCGAGTACACGCAAGGTTGAGTTCGAAAATCTGTTTATTGAAGAAAAGAGCGTTTGATTGACCAATCAGAATAAAGAAATCTCTGCGCCTTTTGTCCTGATTGGTCAATCAAACGTTTTACTTCACTTCGAGTGGATTTTCAAATGCAATCCGATATGGCTTCGACGAGAATTCGAAATTTAGTCATGATGTTATATCTATAATATTTACATCATGGTTTATCCAAAATCAAAATGGATACCCAAACTGTCAACACTCGAAGAAAAATCTTGAATCAAGTGATCTGCAGCATTTTAGTGGAATGCGGCTATGACACGTGTGAGAAACAAACTCTGGAAACTCTCACCGAAATGTTACAGTCATGTGAGAGATCAAAAAAAAATTTAATTTCTAGCTAACCTATCGTATATCGCAACCCTTTGCTCCCAAGAATAGTGGCACAAGGAAAGAGGATGTTGATCCTCTTTGAAGAAAAAAATAAATAAAACAATGTACAAACTCTACTTTTTATATTTTTTGATATAACACATATTTATCAATTATATCCAGTAATTACATCACATTTAGTTTATCAACAGCAAATGAACTTTTAAACATTAAAATAATTTTTAAGAGACTGAAGTGTATATTATAGGATTCCTGTTGATGTTCAAAACTTGTCCACAAATATTCTGACAATTACATAAAATGTAATAACATTTTAACTTATATTTGATATTTTATTTCGAGCAATGTATCATTGAATGTGCCAAGTAATTAAAATTATTAGAAAGCAAACAGCATTTAAAAAACTATGCGCATATCCTAGCTATATAGACTGTAAAAATATTAAACATTATAGATTAATAAATATGATAGATTAGTCCATTGAGTTAAATTTTAAATGAAAATCTAAAATATCTATATTCCTTTTGTAACTTTCTATTCATCACTTTTCTTAACTTGAATTTTTTAGAGATTTTTGTAAATTTATTTTTTCATCTCCTGTGTATACAAAATATTTATTATACTTTTTTCACTAATTACAGTTATTGTGGAAACTGGAGCTTCAGCAAGAAATTATTGTGAACTTTCTGGGAGAACAGAGCCTCTTATAGCAGATGTGATATTGGCACTGATCAGTATGGGCATGAAAGTAGATAATATAGAGACTTATGCAAAGAGACAAAATAGAACAATTCTACCAGCACTTCAACAACAAACACAAGCCAAACATTTAAATATCTTGCAAGCTGGTGTTAAGCAAAACCATCCGTCACATATACCAAATTATTTACCAGCTTTTCCTGATCCACACGCATATATCAGAACTCCAGTGAGTATATTTATTAATAATAATTATTATATTTATCATACATACTTTTTATTTGGTTGCAAAATTATTATGATCAAAACAAATATTGCATATAGTACATACAGACTTAATTCAATAATGGTAATATTACAGACGCATAAGCAACCAGTAACAGAATATGAAGCGATAAGAGAAAAAGTGGCAACACAAAAACGAGATATTGAAAGAGCTTTAACAAGATTTATTGCTAAAACTGGAGAGACACATAGTTTATTTCTCACAGAGGATAACAGCATGTTTCCTTGTAAGAAACTTGGCACTTATATTAAATTAATACAAGTTTATTTTATTATGAACCAATATATATATACAAGAGTATTTTACATATATCTTTACTTTTAGTAATATCTTGTAAACCGCAATTTCCGAGTTATATCTCTGCTCTTCTACCTCAAGATCAAATATTTGAGCCAGATACAGATTTCCAATTTGACTCAAATCCAGTGAAAAAGAAAAAAGAACAAGAAGGCAAAGAGACAGAGGAAGGTATAAGAGTCTTTTGTAATATACATCATAATGAAAGATATTGGAAATAAATATACACATCAAAACTAATGTAATACGATGTGAACTTGTGTTTCTAGGGAATCAAACGCAAAATGAAAATATAGAACAAAATGGCGAAACTACTACCCAGCAAGATGTTATAGACAATCCATATTTAAGGCCAGGAAAGATTCCCAAAAATAAAATCCCAGTTACAACAACACCTGGGCAACAGTCCACCAAAAGAGAACCAGTCGAATCTTAAGTATTGTATTATCTAATACATAATAATATTAATATAGGTGTCTAGTATACAATATAATGTACATATATGTGTGTATATTTTTTATATTTAATCTGTATATTACATAAAGCATATGGAATAAAAAGTAAGAGTACAAATCATATATATACATAGTAAAAGTTATTTTTATTATAAATGTGGGGTTACACAAAAGTATTTTGAGATACATTATTATCTGTCGCTGAGAATTAATACATAACATTCCATTCGACAATTTTCAAAATTTATCTACACTATGTTATATATATTAGAAAATCTCACTACTGAAATATATAATTAGATTTACTTTCCGTTATATAGCAACATTGCTTAGGTGAATATTGCACAGATTAGCACCTTATAAAAAAATATAAGAATACAAAACCAAATATTAAAATTGGTAATCACTGCATACAATTTATATATATAAAAATAGATTTTTCATTGTATTAATACAATCTACAGCAGCAAGCGTCTAAGTTTACTCTGTCTGAAATATTTTATAATATTGATATATAAAGATCTGGTTGGTAAAACCGCTTTTTTAGAAGAAAAGCATACATCATTGTGATGAATGATAATTCATTCAGAAAAATGCATTTACATATAATTCATGCTATCAAAACTTTATATTTCTCAAAAAATTTTTAAGAAATTGGATTTTATAAATCTAAATTTATTTATAAATTTATAATTTTTTGAATATACTTATGTACTAATTAAGAATATTAAAGATAATTCAGATTATATAAACTTAGATAACTTCACTGTACGCAAAGAGCCGTTTAATATTAGCAATTTACTGTAAAAATATTAAACATTATAGATTAATAAATATGATAGATTAGTCCATTGAGTTAAATTTTAAATGAAAATCTAAAATATCTATATTCCTTTTGTAACTTTCTATTCATAACTTTTCTTAACTTGAATTTTTTAGAGATTTTTGTAAATTTATTTTTTCATCTCCTGTGTATACAAAATATTTATTATACTTTTTTCACTAATTACAGTTATTGTGGAAACTGGAGCTTCAGCAAGAAATTATTGTGAACTTTCTGGGAGAACAGAGCCTCTTATAGCAGATGTGATATTGGCACTGATCAGTATGGGCATGAAAGTAGATAATATAGAGACTTATGCAAAGAGACAAAATAGAACAATTCTACCAGCACTTCAACAACAAACACAAGCCAAACATTTAAATATTTTGCAAGCTGGTGTTAAGCAAAACCATCCGTCACATATACCAAATTATTTACCAGCTTTTCCTGATCCACACGCATATATCAGAACTCCAGTGAGTATATTACTTGATAATAATTATTATATTTATCATACATACTTTTTATTTGGTTGCAAAATTATTATGATCAAAACAAATATTGCATATAGTACATACAGACTTAATTCAATAATGGTAATATTACAGACGCATAAGCAACCAGTAACAGAATATGAAGCGATAAGAGAAAAAGTGGCAACACAAAAACGAGATATTGAAAGAGCTTTAACAAGATTTATTGCTAAAACTGGAGAGACACATAGTTTATTTCTCACAGAGGATAACAGCATGTTTCCTTGTAAGAAACTTGGCACTTATATTAAATTAATACAAGTTTATTTTATTATGAACCAATATATATATACAAGAGTATTTTACATATATCTTTACTTTTAGTAATATCTTGTAAACCGCAATTTCCGAGTTATATCTCTGCTCTTCTACCTCAAGATCAAATATTTGAGCCAGATACAGATTTCCAATTTGACTCAAATCCAGTGAAAAAGAAAAAAGAACAAGAAGGCAAAGAGACAGAGGAAGGTATAAGAGTCTTTTGTAATATACATCATAATGAAAGATATTGGAAATAAATATACACATCAAAACTAATGTAATACGATGTGAACTTGTGTTTCTAGGGAATCAAACGCAAAATGAAAATATAGAACAAAATGGCGAAACTACTACCCAGCAAGATGTTATAGACAATCCATATTTAAGGCCAGGAAAGATTCCCAAAAATAAAATCCCAGTTACAACAACACCTGGGCAACAGTCCACCAAAAGAGAACCAGTCGAATCTTAAGTATTGTATTATCTAATACATAATAATATTAATATAGGTGTCTAGTATACAATATAATGTACATATATGTGTGTATATTTTTTATATTTAATCTGTATATTACATAAAGCATATGGAATAAAAAGTAAGAGTACAAATCATATATATACATAGTAAAAGTTATTTTTATTATAAATGTGGGGTTACACAAAAGTATTTTGAGATACATTATTATCTGTCGCTGAGAATTAATACATAACATTCCATTCGACAATTTTCAAAATTTATCTACACTATGTTATATATATTAGAAAATCTCACTACTGAAATATATAATTAGATTTACTTTCCGTTATATAGCAACATTGCTTAGGTGAATATTGCACAGATTAGCACCTTATAAAAAAATATGAGAATACAAAACCAAATATTAAAATTGGTAATCACTGCATACAATTTATATATATAAAAATAGATTTTTCATTGTATTAATACAATCTACAGCAGCAAGCGTCTAAGTTTACTCTGTCTGAAATATTTTATAATATTGATATATAAAGATCTGGTTGGTAAAACCGCTTTTTTAGAAGAAAAGCATACATCATTGTGATGAATGATAATTCATTCAGAAAAATGCATTTACATATAATTCATGCTATCAAAACTTTATATTTCTCAAAAAATTTTTAAGAAATTGGATTTTATAAATCTAAATTTATTTATAAATTTATAATTTTTTGAATATACTTATGTACTAATTAAGAATATTAAAGATAATTCAGATTATATAAACTTAGATAACTTCACTGTACGCAAAGAGCCGTTTAATATTAGCAATTT